TAAAAGTGCAAGACAAAAGCTTATAACTACATCAGTTATACTTTCACTGTGTGCAATGAGATAAATGGGATATAGAATATCAACTCAGTAAATAGATACAATGGAAACATTTGTAATCTAATCCAGTCTTAATATTTAATTGGCCACTGCAAAGTAGAAACAAAAGAGCGAATTAAGGTGAGAAAAGATCTTATGACCAACTGGCGCATATGAAAAACAAGGAAGTTTGAGTTAGGAAAAATATCAAGTGGACACAAATTGCAAGTGCAACTAATTGTAAATCCAACAAAGATATAGTGTTTTCATTCTTTAACAAATGAAAAATTATAGTGTTTTCAAGTTGGTACTAGTTATATACTTCATTTCTAGTCACACACACTAGTAAAAGCAATTGCGTACTTATCTTACCAACAAATTCATAGACATCGAAATCATGTTGAAAAGTTGGAATATATGCTAAAATACAATTACGTACAGGTATATATCTAGCAAGTTATGCTGGTCAATTTCTGGGATAATGAACTTGAAACAATTCAAAAAATGGATCAAAGTCTTCAGAACTTTTATTCAAATTTATCCATAGTTTGTTCACATAATAAGGCCAACCTATTACGACAAAAGCACAAACTATGGTGAAAGAAGACCACCAATATTGGCAAAAACTTAAATTAAGTAGAAAAAAGTGATCTCGACTTGCTAAATAGACAACAATTGTTATCATGAGGTAAGGGGACAATTTCTATTATCATAATTAGTTATATTTCATTTCCTTTCAAATGTTTGAAAAAAAATATAGTGGGCAACAAGAAATCAGTATCTGGGCCCCAGATCACTTGCTAACCTGGTTCCTGTCAATTGTCTGCACAACATTTCCACGCGTGAAGATTATAGCATGATTCTGATTTTCAGGTTTCCCTTCACCTAGTTTAGGATTCCCTAGTAGCTTTATTGAATAGATTTCCTGCAATTTATTTTTTTAAAGTTACATGTCATGATTTTGTTACATAACAAATGACACACAGACAAATTAAAGCAGTGATTCATAGATACAACATTAACATTTCGTAAAAGAACAGTAAACACAATCATATATGAGGCTATCTCAGTGTCCTTCATTGAGTAATGGCTGAACCCTAGCTGTAGGTTTTATAACAAGCTGACAAGTAGCTGAGTATCACATCCATTTTCATTCTTAAATTACACAACATAACTTAAAATTCAGCCAAACTTGCATACTACACCAATTCGTCTTCCTAGCTTAGAATAAAGAATCATGCATAATATCAAACACAGAGATTGTAGAGACTAGAAGGGAAAGAAAAATAACACATAATAAAACCTTATCTTTCCCATTGATGTCGGCCTTAACAAGTTTTGAGAAATATTCTGTGCGCACCTTCCCATCCTTCAGAGTTTCAATCTTATTGATAAAAGCAATTCGAAGAGCTTCATTTCTATTATGGAAATAAAACAGGAGACAGAAAAGTTGAAAATCACACGAAGAATGAGTGAGGGGACTAAGTTCAGGGTTGATTTCTTTTTCTTTGGGTGGTGGTAGTCGACGACAAAGGGGATTTTCGACTATTCGAATGAGGAGAGTGAGTTCAGGGGTTTGGTTCTTCTCTTTTGGACAGTGGAATGAGTTTAGGGGTTTCATTTTTTTTTTTTTCAATTCTGACAACTTACACATTTTTTGTATAAATTTCTCATCAAGTCAAATCTCATTTAATGAAGGACATGTCAGTCATTTAATTTATCTAAAGGGGTAAAAATGTCTAAAATTGACAATTTTGCAAATGCTTTTGAAAAATGATATTTTTGTAAATGCAAAATCAAAAATGGACACATAATGCAATTTCCTGTTAAAAAAATTTAATTATCCTCTAATTGAATCTAAAACTCGAGGAAAGTGATGAGCGGAAGTGGTACGCAGCAAGCGGCGCACTCGCTGGCTTTCAGGGTAATGAGGCTGTGCCGGCCGACGTTGCATGTCGACACCTCCCCTCTCAAATTCGATCCTTGCGATCTGCTCTTTGGCGAGGACCTTTTCGATGATCCCGTCGCCGCCTCCCACCTCCCTCGTCTGCTGGATAGCATTAATGTTGGCCAATCATACAACAATTCCACTGATCCCTCCGATTTCAGCTACCGCACCAGATTCCTCCTCCAACAACCTTCCGACTCCCTCGGCCTTCCCGGACTTCTCGTCCTCCCCCAATCCTTTGGGTACAGTTTTGCTATTTAGGAAGGAACTGCNATTTTTATCTGTATTTGAGCTGATTTCGTAATGCTATGTAAGGAGTGTTTGATTTTTATTTGTTAACTAAAAAGGTAGTGTTGTCTTTTTAACAATATCATATTTTGTAATTATATTATTCACTTAAGGGTATTTTTATCTTTTAAATACCATTATGCCATTTTGAAGTTATTCACTTGTTAAAAAGTCAAAATGGAATTATGGCCTTTTGACTATACCATTCTTAAAGTTACCCCCAACATAAGGTACCCGGCTATCTCAGCAAATTTCCCAAAATTAATTATCCTCCAATTGAATCTAAAACTCGAGGAAAGTGATGAGCGGAAGTGGTACGCAGCAAGCGGCGCACTCGCTGGCTTTCAGGGTAATGAGGCTGTGCCGGCCGACGTTGCACGTCGACACCTCCCCTCTCAAATTCGATCCTTGCGATCTGCTATTTGGCGAGGACCTTTTCGATGATCCCGTCGCCGCCTCCCAACTCCCTCGTCTGCTGGATAGCATTAATGTTGGCCAATCATACAACAATTCCACTGATCCCTCCGATTTCAGCTACCGCACCAGATTCCTCCTCCAACACCCTTCCGACTCCCTCGGCCTTCCCGGACTTCTCGTCCTCCCCCAATCCTTTGGGTACTGTTTTGCTATTTAGGAAGGAACTGCNNGTTTTGCTATTTAGGAAGGAACTGCTCTTTCGAATTGTTATTCGTTTTTGAGGAAATTTTGGCTGGGTGAATTGTGGTCTTTTAGAAGCTACTGACAGTATGACCGATCAATTTATTGGGGGTGATGTTTGTGATATTTTTATTTTTTTCTGTGTTTTTAGGGCAATATATTTGGGCGAGACTTTTTGCAGTTATATAAGCATCAACAACAGCTCCAATTTTGAAGTTCGAGATGTTACAATCAAGGTGAACTCTCTATTTATAGATACTAACATCAGTTGCTGTACAAGCTGATTTTGAATGGCTCTAAATTGTACTCCTGTGTATTTAGTGGCTTGGGATTGGAGCGTGGACTGTGAATTTTGTAGTACTGTATGATATTCATAGCAGTTGTCCATGAATGTTTTATGCTTTCACCGATCTGCCGCAGCCACGTACATATTACTAATAAGGAGAGAAGATAGGGAAAACTTTAAGATGTGTCAGACGAATATCTTAAGGCACATTCAAATCCATAAGGGATTTTTAGGAGAAGTTCTTGCTCATCTTCACATTTGTAATATAGGTGTTTCCATATGTTGGGAAATTCCAATGAAAATCTAATGTACAAGTAAACCATGAAGATTTATTTGGAGAAGCCTAATACTCTTCCCCATGTTTGTAATACAGGGTTTTCCGTAAGTTGCGAAACGCATTCAGTCCCTTTTTCTACTTGCTAGCTACAATTGTGGTATTAAAAACTTAAATGTGACTTCTGATTGTCTGCAGGCAGAAATACAAACAGAAAGGCAGAGAATACTGCTTTTGGATACATCAAAATCACCCGTTGAATCAATAAGAGCTGGAGGACGATATGATTTCATTGTGGAACATGATGTGAAAGAACTCGGTGCCCACACGTAGGTTTTCTCCAGGAAAAAATGTTGGATCATTTGTCCGACTTTTTATTTTTACTGCTATCAGAAACTGTGTACTAACTTGGCTTTGATGTTTGATTTTTCATCTGTAGATTAGTGTGCACAGCACTTTACAATGATGGTGATAGTGAGCGAAAATATCTCCCGCAGTTTTTCAAATTCATGGTTTCTAATCCCCTCTCAGTCAGAACAAAGGTACCTTCCTTAACGTTGTCAAGACAAAGTTCACATATTTTAGTGAATTGAAATATCAAAATTAGCTTTATTACTTACAAGCTATGTTGCTCGGACTCTTCATTT